ATGATGGGGGCTCCCGGGGGGTTCCCGGGATGATGGGGGGGTCCCAGGAGGGTCCCGGGGGGTCCCAGGGTGATGGGGGGTCCCGGGGGGTCTCGGGGGTCCCGGCTCACGTGAGCTCCTGCAGCCGCGCCGTCTTGGCGCGCTCCTCGTCCCGCAGCGCCTCGTGCTCCGCGCGCAGCTTCTCCAGCTCCACCGCAGCTTCTCCAGCTCCAGCTGCAGCTTCTGGTTGAGGCTGCGAGAGACGGAGCCTCGGGACGGGGACGGGGACGGGGATGGGGACGGGGACGGGGATGGGGATGGGGATGGGGACTGGGACGGGGTGTCCCCCAGCCGACATCCTCAGGACCCAGCGGTCCAGGAACGGGGATGGAGAGAGGATGGAGCATCATGAGCATCATCATGGGCATCATCGTGGGCATCATCATGGACATCAGGGACTACATGGGCACACCTGGTTAGGGATGGAGATGGGAATGGGGACAAGGACGGGAATGGGAGTAGGGATGGAGATGGGAATAGGGACAAGGATGGGGACAAGGACGGGAATGGGAGCAGGGATGGAGATAGGACCAGAATTCATGGGCATCATGAACATCATGTTGGGGCAGATGCAGGGATGGTAATGGGGACAAGAATGGGGACAAGGACAGGAATGGAGATAGGACTAGACTTCATGGACATCATGTTGGGGCAGATGCAGGGATGGTAATGGGGACAAGAATGGGGACAAGGACAGGAATGGAGATAGGACTAGACTTCATGGACATCATGTTGGGGCAGATGCAGGGATGGTAATGGGGACAAGAATGGGGACAAGGACAGGAATGGAGATAGGACTAGACTTCATGGACATCATGTTGGGGCAGATGCAGGGATGGTAATGGGGACAAGAATGGGGACAAGGACAGGAATGGAGATAGGACTAGACTTCATGGACATCATGTTTGTCCCCCCGCGCACCCTGCGCCTGCAGCCGGGCCAGCTCCTCGCTCAGCGCGTCGTGGGCCTCCTCCAGGTGCCTCTTCTTGAGCTCCACGTTCTGCATGTACTCGGTGAGCGAGCGGATCTTGGCCTCGTGCTGCGGGAGCGCCCGGCCCAGGCACGGCCACCAGGGAGGCCACCAGGGAGGCCACCAAGGAGGCCACCACGGGGCCACCACAGCACCGTCACTGTGGGGCCACGGACACACGTCCCGCGTGCAGGGACACCAGCCACTGCCACCAGGGCCACCCACACTGGTCAAGGGCCACCAGGGTCCCCTATCCCTGGTCAGCGGCTACCACCATTGTGGTCACCTACACTGGTCAAGGGCCACCATAGTCCCCTATCCCAGATCAAGGGCCACCACCATTGTAGTCACCTACACTGGTCAAGGGCCACCGTAGTCTCCTATCCCTCATCAAAGGCTACCACCACTGTGGCCATCCACACTGGTCAAGGGCCACCAGGGTCCTCTATCCCTGGTCAAGGGCCACCACCACCAGGGCCACCCCCACTGGTCAAGGGCCACCATGGTCCCCCATCCCTGGTCAAGGGCTACCACCATTGTGGTCACCACACTGCTCAAGGGCCACCATGGCCCACCTGCACTGTTCAAGGGCCACCATGGTCCCGCATCCCAGGTCAGGGGCTACTGCCATTGTGGTCACCTACACTGGTCAAGGGCCACCATGGTCCCCTGTCCCAGATCAAGGGTCACCACCACCAGAGCCACCCACACTGGTCAAGGGCCACCATGGTCCCCTATCCCAGATCAAGGGTCACCACCACCAAGGCCACCCACACTGGTCAAGGGCCACCATGGTCCCCTATCCCTGGTCAAGGGCCACTGCAACCAGGGCCACCCACACTGCTCAAGGGCCACCACAACCATGGCCATCCAGACTGGTCAAGGGCCACCACCACCAAGGACCACCAACCTCAGGGCCACCAAGTCAGTGCCACGGCTCCCAGGGCCTGCCCAAGGGTGGCTGCCCCCCACGGTTGTCCCCCCACGCCGTGGCCCTGCGCGTGCCCCACCTGGGAGATGAGGAGCTGGCAGGATGAGAGCTCCCGGCCCGTCACCTCCATCTTGCGGTGACACTCGACCTGCAGGTTCTCCAGCTGCCGGCACCGCTTCACCACCGACTTCACCTCCGACTTGATCTTGCTGATGTAGAGCCGGGCCACGGTGAACTCCTCCTCGATGGCCCCGCTCACCTCCACCGGCTGCCACGGCACACGCGTGAGCGTCGCGCGGACGCGGCGCGGACACGGCACGCGTGAGGGTTGCGTGGGTGCAGCAGTGCTCATTGCATGGGCACAGCGTGGACATGTCACGTGCAAGTTGCATGAGTGCAGCATTGCCCATTGTATGGGCACAGCGTGGACATGTCACGTGCAAGTTGTATGGGTGCAGCAGCGCTCATTGTATGGGCACAGCGTGGACATGTCACATGTGCAAGTTGCAAGGGTGGAACAACGCTCATTGCATGGATATGTCCTAACATGGGCATGTCACACGTGCAGGTTGCATGGGTGCTGCAACACTCATTGCATGGATATGTCACAACATGGACGTGTCACATGTAGAGGTTGCATGGGTGCAGCATTGCTCATTGCATGGGCACAGCATGGACATGTCACACGTGCAAGTTGCATGGGTGCAGCAACACTCATTGCATGGATATGTCATAACATGGACATCGCATGCAGGTAGCATGAGCACAGCGATACTCATCGCATGGACACGTCATGGCATGGACATGTCACACATGCAGGTTGCATGGGTGCTGCAACACTCATTGCATGGCTATGTCACAACATGGACGTGTCACGTGTACAGGTTGCATGGGCACAGCAGTCTCATTGCATGGATATGTCACATATGCAGGTTGCATGGACGCAGCAACACTCGTTGCATGGATATGTTATAACATGGACGTCACGCATGCAGGCAGCATGAGCACAGTGATACTCATCGCATGGACACGTCACGGCATGGACATGTCACATGTACAGGTTGCATGGGCGCAGCAGTCATTGCATGGACATGTGGCACATGCAGGTTGCACAGGCACAGCATGGGCATGGCATGGTCACATCATGGCATGGACATGTCCTACATGTCCGGGTTGCGTGGGTGCAGCAGTGCTCATTGCATGGACACAGCATGGACATGTCACATGTGTAAGTTGCATGGGTGCTGCAACAATCATTGCATGGATATGTCACAACATGGGCGTGTCACATATACAGGTTGCATGGATGCAGCTGTCTCATTGCATGGGTATGTCACATACGCAGGTTACATGGGTGCTGCAACACTCATTGCATGGATATGTCACATACGCAGGTTGCATGAGTGCAACAAAACTTATTGCATGGATATGTCATAACATGGATGTCACGCATGCAGGTAGCATGAGCACAGCGATACTCATTGCATGGACATGTCACATGTGCAAGTAGCAGGGGCACAGCAGAGCTCATTGCATGGATATGTCACAACATGGACGTGTCACATGTACAGGTTGCATGGACGCAGCAGCCTCATTGCATGGATGTGTGACACATGCAGGTTGCATGGGCACAGCCTGGTCACATCATGGCTTGGCCATGTCCCACATGTGCAGGCTGCATGGGCACAGCAGTCTCATTGCACGGACACGTCACGGCATGGACATGGGACACGTGCAGGTTGCATGGGTGCAGCAACGCTCAATGCATGGACACGTGGCACATGCAGGTTGCATTGGCGCAGAAATGCTCATTGCATTGACATGGGACAGGTGCAGGTTGCATGGGCATGGCATGGGCATGGCATGGTCACATCATGGCACGGATACGTCCCACGTGTGCGGGTTGCATGGGCGCAGCAGTCTCATTGCATGGACATGTGGCACGTGCAGGTTGCACAGGTGCAGCATGCTCACATCATGGCACGGATATGTCCCAATGAGGGTTGCGTGGCAGTCTTATTGCATGGACACGTCATGGCATGGACATGGGACACGTGCAGGTTGCATGGGTGCAGCAACGCTCATTGCACGGACGTGGGACATGGGACACGTGCAGGTTGCATGGGTGCAGCAATGCTCATTGCATTGACATGGGACATGGGACACGTGCAGGTTGCATGGGCGCAGCGATGCTCATTGCATGGACACGGG